AGCATACAATAGCGAAATGTAAATATGGCAATAAAGATGAGGACAGAGTTTGAATGATGTAAATAGTTACAATACTTCATCTCAGAAATATAGAAATAAAAAATACTTTAGGCTGAATATAAAAAGAAAAATATTGGTACAACAGATTAGGTTTGTTTATTGCACTTTCTCTTCAGAAAGGCTCAGATATGATATAAATACCACCCCAAAATCCAGACGGTTTATGAAAAAAAAAAAAAAATGGTTCAAGTCTCATGGCCTCAAAACCCACTTAAATAAAGTTTGCAAAGAAGCATGGTTTAAGAGATCATTGGATTACCACACCCTGATGATAATCACAGGCAGCATGATATTTAAAAGGCTCTTTTCCTTTTGACTTTTCAAGTGAAAACGCCATTTCTTTTCACTCCATTTTGTGAATTTTTTTTTTTTTTAACCTGGACTCACAGGAGTCTGCCAAATAATGTTGGCAGTACAAATGTACTAGAATGCATAAAATAATACTTTCAATTCCACAAGATTCATTCTGTGATTTTTTTTAGCCAATGGGGAAAGTAAATTATGAACCTAAATTATGGACCTAAATTATGAATCCAGAGTATCAAATTTCTGTTTCAACTGGGAGTGAATTCGTGGTTATTTAAGTAGGGCTTGCCAAACTGAGAAGGGACTTAGCTTTCACATATGAATGAGGTCAGCTGGCTGCTGAGCTAGTTGTAGAGGTCAGCCCCACTTTGCTTTTAAACAATTCTTCTGACTGCATGGCTATTATAACTTTAGGATCTGTTCCTGAAATCTCCACAAGTCTTTTAGTCATTTATTCATAATACATGCCTCTAATTTGGCAAAGACTAATAAGGAAAAAAAGAATATTTAATTGATGATTCTTCCATACTTACATATACATTTTAATTTCAAAATTATTTGGATTTTCAATCATAATTCTTTATAATCATATCTAATAATTCTGAGGTCATCAAAGGATTGGGGTAACAAATAAGGGTTGTTTCAACATTAGCCTACTACTGATACTGTTCACTCCAAACAAATCATCACAGATAAGATGCATAATGATTTTTTTTGTCTTAGAAGGAAAAAAAAAACACTTTATACAGCAGGAAATACAGTGTGTGTGTGTGTGTATATATATATATATATATATAATTATTTAAAAAAAAAAATATGATTCCTTCATGAATCATATTTTTTTTAAATAATTATAATTTAAGCTCTATTTCTGTATGGAACACTCCTTTTTAAAAATAAAAAAAGAAATACTAAAGAACCCCAGATTATTTACCTAATGTGTTCTTTCCTATTTTTCTACATATTTCCACACACACACACACATATATATATATATATATATATTGTATGAAGAAATATAGTTTTAAGATGTGCTATATTTATGGGATAAAGTGCTCAGTATCAGAGATAGAGCGTATATAAAAGTGAACATTGAAAACATTCAAAGGCAACAGGATGTTTTATGCTAGGTGTAATCGTCAGGCCTAGAATTGAAACAGCCTATCACCACTGAGTGTTGACTTCAATGTCATAGCTGGCTGCTCATACCGGAATATGCTAGGGTAACTAGCCAATCCCTGTTGTAGACACTTGCTCAGACACATTTGTTTTTGTTCAACACTCAGAACCCACTTGTGTTTTATATTGCAACTATTCTGAGCAGATCATAGTTAAAGTTTCATTCAGGGAGAGAGTTAATCCTCTAGCATGATCAATAGTTTGAAAAAGTCCAGTATGCTTAAACCACTCAGTCATGATGACTTATGACTGTGTTAGCACAACAATCGACAAATTCTAAAGAGCTTCATCTACAGAATTTCACTAGAAAGACTAGGGTCAACCAACAGAATGGTTTTCTAACATTTTCCAAAGATGCCACAAAAAGGATTGTCTCCCCAGGTCAACATTACATAGGTCACCTTCTTGATTAATTGATCATAATGAGATTTGAACCCTAGACTCATGGTTGGAACAGCAACATTTTAACTATACAGCCATGTGCCCAGTTTGTTGGAGTGAAGGAATACTTTCAGGTCAATTTATTTTTAAAACATTTTTACGGATTGATAAATAAAAACACAACAAATTTCTGCTATAAAATTTATTTTTTTTTATTGCACCATTTTTGCCAACATGAATTTTGACTTTGTATGTGTCCCCCACCTTGCGTAATAATAACTGGATGGATATTTACATGTCATTGATCACAGTAGTGCTTCCTAACAAACTAAGCAGCAACTTTCCCCAAACCCTACATTCTAGAACTGCTTTTTTTTTCTTTTAAAAAAAAAAAAAAAAAAAAAAAAAAAAAAAAAAAAGAAAAAGTAAACCCAATAGTCTAAAGCAGAACCAGAAAAAGAACAACTTTTTTCTAATTTGTACAGATTCTGGTTTTTTTTTTAAAAAAAAAAAAAAAAAAAAAAAAAAAATGTGGAGAGACAGTATTGTATAATTTAAAAAAATAGTTTGCAATTTTTAAATAACTACATAAATTTTAATATTTACTAATTTGTTAAGGCAAAGTTAAACCAAAACACAAAATTAAAGACAAAAAATAACTATAATAATACCTATATTAATAATATTAGTTTGAACATGTTTCTAATTTCATATAAAAAAATTATAAAGATAAACATAAAAACAGTATGTACTAAAGAAGATTTTTGTTAAAATGAATTTCTAAAAAGAAAACTCTACACTTTGAAGATTTTAGTGTCATATATTGGCATGTCACCAACATCATCCCCTGTGTGTTTTCAGTATGACAAAGAAACAAATAAGCATTTAGTAAAGATAAGGTTTATATTCATTATTTTTTTTCTTCCCGTTGAACAATAAAAAATTTTTTTTTTTAATTCATTTATAGTAAAAGCCAAACTAAATATTTCACCACAATTTAGGAGAAACCTGCTAAATTGGAAGTGAATATTTTTTCAAGTCAGTTAAATTCAGGATTTTGTATTTTTAGTAAACTTATGAATGATCATATTCTTATAAAAAGATCTTTGTTTTATTTTGGACATTCTGCATTGATCATTTCTCAGCCTGTCTTTGCTCAGCTTCATCAGTCATGATGTAGAAAGTTTAATAGGAATGAGTTGAAGATTTGCTCCTTTATCAACTTTGATTGGCTTTGTGAGTAAAGGAAGCACAAGATAAGGAAATAGTTTCATTTGATAAATTTACTTTTTACTTATCCATCTCCAAAAGAACTCAACACAATGAGGCGGTATAACCAAAATTGATTTTAAGAACATCAAATAGAAGAGGAAATAATTTTAGAGATTAAAATATAAAATATTCTGTGGCAGATTGCTAGAGATAGTTTAATAGTCATTAATTTGGATGAACCCATTTCAAGAATGTGTATTGCTTATAACCAAGTGAGGGTTTCTATAGTTGGTCTAATAGCAGAGAGACAGACTTGTAAAACTTATTAATGATGCCTAGTCCAAATTGAAAGAACTAAGAATTGTACCAAAATAAAAAATTGTGTAATTAAAAGACAAACAATGAGAGTTAGATTCCACTAAAAAAACAAAAAAAAAAACTTCTATTTAGATAATCCTGCAGATGCCTCCATGTTATCTTGGAGGAAAATGATTGCTTTTAGGAAAATATCTGTGAATAAAATATTGTTATAAAAAAAATTGTCTTCACACAATTATTTCTATGTAAATTGTTATTTAGAATAATGAGGACACTAAGAAGAAAAAAAAAAAAAACTGAAGATGGACCCAAATGGGGAAGTGATAGTTAAAAGGAAGTTAATTTCTTTTATAGAAAAAAAAACAAAACAAAGAGAGCTGTTTGTAGTTCAGTTAAGGCATCCTTGCTTTAGTGCCTAATAAATGCTTCAGGGAGGAAGTTGTATGAAAAAAAAGAAAACTTATATTTAACCTGAGCTTTTTAAAATCAGTAAAAAAAAAAAAAAAAAAATGAAGATTTTAATGTTTATTTACATAAAAGTTAATACCAATATCTTAAAAAATATATATATGCAAAGCCTTCCAAAACTGAAGGATAGATGTACAAAGATTACCTGAATTTGATGATGGTAAAAGAAAGTAATGATATTTTATTGTATATTTGAAGAGAAAAGTCTCTAAATGTCAAGTCGTTTTATCCTGTGAATGATATGTTAAAAAGCAAATCCCCACAGTCTATACTGGATATTTCCTTCAAACTTCTAGGAGCTGACTATATGCCAAAAAATGTTTTAAAGTAGAGATATCTCAGGTAGAATATATATTCTATGTCTTATTTTAAGATTATGTCACAATAAAACAGTTGTGATAAATAAAATGTAATAATCCTAAGAAAGCTTATTTATTGCCTTCATTTAAGTCACTCAATCTCCTCACAAAAGACTTTATTATTTATTCATTCATATCACAAGTCAAAATCCAGAAGAATATTCTGGTGAAATTTTAAAAAATTAAAACTAATTTCAGACATTGCAACAGGTTTCAACTTCAAATATTTTTTTAAAAGTCTAAACAGACAAAAAGGAAGATTTGAACAGAAAGACTTATCGCTATGTGAACCATACAGGAGTTTGCTGTATCTTAGCCAACAATCTAGTGATCCTAGTTCAACTATATTGTAACTGATCATCACCAGGTGAGAAAATCTTTTAAAATAAGTATTTTCATATAGTTTTTGTTACTAATTACTATTAGTCTTACTGGCCGATAAATAGTAGTTGTCTGTTGAACATCTGTTAACCAAGGTTATCTCCCCTCCTTTTGGCCAATGGCGAGCATATCATCAGTTAAAAAATGTTATTTATTTGCAAATAGCAAAGAAAATGTTACTTAAAGATATTCCAGTTTACATATTTTAAAATCTTGTTCTTCACTTTTCATTCTTTACATTTTGTCTTTTTGTTAACCATTTTACATCTGTTTTCTTAATTTTCCTGATTTGCTTCTTTTATTTCAGCCAGCCCCAGTCTTTTGTTTTGTTATAAGTTACGGCAGTGAAGAAAACGAAAGAAAGGAGCATAAGAGAAAAAAAGAGCTGCACGGTCTTATTTTTACATATGGAATGAGTAAATAAGTGAGGTAGCAAAAATTTGATGCTACAAGAAAGAAATACATTTGCTAACAATAAAAGAAAGAAAAAAAAAAGAGAAGGGAAAAAACTTAAGAGAGAGAGAGAAAAAAAGAAGAGGAAAAAAATATGACCAAAGGATCAATCATCAATTTCTGATTAGGCCAAAAACTTTTCAGCAGCCTATCATATTAACTCTTACCCAGCAATCCAACTAGTCATTTTCTTTCTTTTTTTTTTTTTAATGAATAATGATTATAATACAACTATTGTTATTTATGAATATTTAAAAAGAATTTATTAAGGATTTTTCTAATTGGCATAAAAAGGTGCAATGTCTATAATTGGTTTAAATAAAAGAAGCACCAGAAAGCATTTTATGAGAATAGATAATCAATATTTAATAAGAATTTTTAGAGGATAATCAAAAAAAAAAAAAAAAGAGTTTTAAGGGATCTAACTATATAAACTTAATAAAAACATCTAGTTTAACTTAGACTGGAAGTTTTTTTAAATTTTATCAGTTAACACTGAGTTAATTCAGTTTATTTACTAAATAATGAACATACTCAAACATGTTAATGATTTAAAAGAGAAAAAAAGTAACTGCTTTTGAACACCATTAAACTAATACTTCTGTATTTTAAAACATATATAAAATATATAGAAACAAAATTCTTCTATGTGTAAATAAGAACAACTTAAACAGCATTTAGCTGTAAGTTTCTTTCTTACATCTGTTTACATCTGGGGTTTTTTTAACTAAAAAATATATCAGAATAAAGATGATATTGTCTTGTAATCCAGTTATAATTTTTAAAAGAAAATACAAAGAAAATTATTAAACACAAAATCCATAATGATTAATGGATGAAGTAAAAAGTAAATCTCAATGGAAATTTAAAATGCAGTTCATTTTATAGAGAACATTTTAAAGTAACTTTAAAAATTTAGAAAAAAAATTTAGAAAAAATTAGAATGTATATTTAGAAGTACAATCACAAAGTCTCAATAACAAATGACAAATTTTAACTATTTTCTCAAATGTTGAAAATTTACCAATAAATCTACATTTACTAAAAAAATACATCTACTAAGGAATGATCACAGATTTCAACCTCAAAATGCATAATGAAATCAATAAAGAGTAAAAGAATAATCATTAAAAGATGAGAAATTGATAAATTTTATCATGTATAATTTATCAAATTATAGTTTGAAAAATATATTAGATCAAAAGCTTTAATTTGGAGAAGAAGAAGAAAAAAAAAAAAAAAAAAAAAAAGAGAAAAATTATTTTTTGAATATTGCAAATTTAAAAAGTTTTCTACAATTATATTTCAAATAGTATCTTCCTGACAGATTAAAATGGAATGTTCTGTGGCAAAATATGTAAGTCATTTAACCAAAATTTTCAAAGAAAATTTTAATCTTTTTCTAACAAATCTGAGAAAGTAATAACAAAAACTTTCAGATTTTATGATGTACATCAGGAAGTTGGAAAGCTGATGGCATTTTTTTTTAAATAAAACCAATTTTCATAAGTGAAGCAACTCCACTTCCTATTTTTAGGCCTATTTGACTTAAAATCCACTTCTGAGAATATTATTGTGAGTTCAATAATGAAGTGTATAAAATTCAAAAATATAAAAATTGTTACAAAACCATGTACATGTTTCATTTCATAAAAATAAGTCATTATACTTAACCTGGCATTATGGAAGACTTCAATTTTAGATATCTCTTACCATCTAAGTAATCAAGATATTGTTTACCAATACCACATACAATCCAATATCAGACTTAGTATAATAAACTCTAATATTTTTTTATCTTATTTCATCTTCAATTACCAATTATGAAGCAGCTACAAAAGCACTGAATTTCCAGACCCATTTGACCCTTATTAGAAAATACTCAATAACATCCATTTAAATGGGAATATTTTGGTAGAATATTTTAGATGGCCTTTGAAAATATTTAAAAATTAACATTTGCTAAATAAGAACTATATAACTTTACAAAAATGAAGCCTAACAGCTGACTACATATAACTATTTGCATTCTAGCTTTAATTTGTCAGGAAAAATTAATTTAAAACTTCAAAAACAATAAAAAGTAAGAAAATTTTTATAAAAGGTGAAGAAAAAACTTTTTCATTGGTGCTAACTCAAATGCAGGAAAATGAGGTAAAACTCAAAATCACCTCTAAAAGAAATAACCTTTTGGATGGTTGATTTTTTTTTTTTTTTGAAGATATATGTATTCATGAATAAATAACATTGTTGACTGGTAGTGAATATTAAAGCTCAGAGAACCAAAAACTATTTAGAATATCCCAATGACATGTATTAATCTTTTGCTGTAAGATTAAAATATATAAATAAATGGTAATCCATAAGTAAAATGTAAATGAATAATTATAATTATTAAGAGGTTTGCATTTATTAAGAATATAAAATAACTTATACTTTTTAGGAATTAAATTATAGAATTAGTTATATGCAAATGAGAGAAAGTGTGTTATTTATTGAAATTATAGTATGAAAAAAAATTAGATTTTTAGATGAATTGGTAGTATCCACATTAATCCCCATATAAAAAAAAAAAAAATCAACCTAAAAATCACAATAAAGACTATAAATAGTAGTTCTTAGGTATCATTTCTTATTCTTCACTGTCAATTAGTTTTATTTGCCTTTATTAAAATACTATTAGAATAATAGAACCAAGTATATTTTACCTATGAAATTATAGAATTATCTGTTTTTCTCTATATATTGTGTTTCTATGGGCTTCTTTTAAAAACATGAAAACAGTTAACTCATAGTCAATGTAAATCATTTGTTGGAGTTGAAATCTTTCATTTTGTATCATGTGTCGTTTTAAACTGGTCACTTCATATTTTCCAACTGTTCAGTAACAATAAACAGTTAAAATATATTGCCAAATATGTATCCACACATTGTCATAGTTAAAAAGCAATTTGAGATTCTTCATTTATAACCACGACCATATCATTAATGATATCAATAGTCCACTTAAAAGAATCTCATGGTAATAAGTATTCATAAAACAATGCTCTTTATTGTGCATTTTGAAGAGAATCTTTGGGTTGCAATGAAAACAAGTAGAAACAGCATGAAAAATTCTGTCAGCTAAAATTCCTTGATATATATGTAAAAAAAAAAAACCAAACAACAATCAAAGGGAATGTGACTTATTGGGTTTTGGGAGCAAATTCTTTAGAAATCATTTTAAATGATTTAAACTAGAAGCAGGTCCCTTGAGATCTCTCAAATTGCAAAGTGGTTTTCTCTAAATTCCAGATAGCATCAATTTACAAATATCTGTATTAATTTCGATTACTGGAGTTTGCTACTGAATAGGTGATTTTAACAAGGAACTTATCCAAGAGAATTTTCCGATTTCAAAACTTAAGTGATATGAAATGATAACCAAAAATAAATCAATAAAAATCACCTACTGCAACGGGAAGATAAATCTTTCATTCACTTCTGTAACAGTCAATATTCTTCAGAAGATATGGCAGCTAATAAATAACTATCATAGATCACATCTCATAGCTAGTAGTGCTTTATGTGCAATAGAACTATGCAGATATCTTAGGGGGGAAATTATATTCAGAAACAATACGTTTAAGTTTTAAATTTAATAACAAATGAAATCTTATAAAACTTTAAAAATAAAACAAAAGAAGCTTTCATTTTCTAATAAAAATTTTCTTGACTTTCAAAATTATTTCAAAAACATCTGTTAATGAAAGAAAGCACATGAACTTTAAATAGGAACAATTTATCTTTTATCAAAATGACTCAAAGAGAAAAAAGAATATTGGTTTGATTGTTTTTGTTTCGTGGCATGTGAACCTTTATGGGTTATTTAATGTTGAAATTGAATAAAGAAAAGAGAAATAGAAAGAGGGAAAGAAATTAAATGAAGATTTAGACAGGAATGAACTCTAAAACAAAAATGAAATGTTTGAAAAATAAAGTGATAAATTTTTAAAGTTTTTTTTTTTGAAAGGAACTTATTTCTTCTGTGTCATCTATGAGATGTGATGTCATCATTACCAGAGATTTATAGACTTCACTTACTCCTTTCCAGTACTCTCACTATGCTTTAAATTTTTCAAACAAAGTGCTGAAGGAGATACAGACCTTATTAAAAAGTCCATCAAAATAAACATGGCTAATGCTATAGCCATTTTGGGAGAAAAAAAAAAAAAAAAGCTGCAAATTATTGTAAAAAATTTACTTTGACTGACTCCTGGGTGTTTCATTAAAGTAACTTTATCTACACCAGGAAATGAGAACTAGTAACAGTCAGTAGGCATTTTAAAGCATCTCAGTTCAAAAAATAATAATTAAAGCAGAAATACAATTACTAGTTTAGATTGACTAAGCACAGCTTCAAACTCAACTATCTTCAAAGAGAGAATGCACCCTGACTTATACATTGTAAATCAAACAGAAAGGCTGAGTAAAACAGTCAAAATAAATCTAAAACAATGATTCACACTTTACTACTATTTGTTATTCAAGGAGAAAATTTATTTCCCACTTGAAATCGGACAAAAACATTTTGGTTAAGCAATAAGGGCTATATTTTGTTTTTTTAAAATGGAAAATATTTTGTACCTCATCTAACAATTAAATAATAAAATAATCATTAGGGAATGGTACCTGTTGATGCTCTTCAGGTAACAAAAAAACCTCTTATAACAATGGCTAGGATACCTGATGAGATTAGTCAATAAAATGCAGGCAGGAAAAGCTACAAAAGATAGGGACAAAGCTTAAGCCATAGATGACAGAGAATAAAAATAAATGTAAGTAATGATAATTAAAAAAATACAGCAGAAAAAAAAAAAGCAAGCAAAGTTTATACAAAATTAAAATATGAAAACTTTGAAGCAACAACAGCAGCAAATCAAAAAAAAAAAAAAAAAAAAAAACTGAAAATTACTTGGATGCCAAATACATTTTCTATTTTTATATCAGTTTTCATCTGGAGTAAAAAGAAATTTAAGTATTTCTCAAGAAACAACTTGACAAACATAAAAGTTGTCATTTAAGTGCTGAACTGTCTGTCTTAGCTGTTCTTATGTGTTGGAGGAAAAAGCAATCAAAGCCCTCCCACCGACCCACCTTTTAAAAAACTAAAACTAAAGATAAGCATTAACTGGTCTCATTGTTCTGGTGACTGGACAGCAGATCTTCCAACCATTGAAGCAAGTCGTCTCCGTCTTCTTAGTCCATTGTTAAGATGAGTGGCACCCCACATCCATAAAGTATCTGGTAGCATTGTCAGCAACCACAACTAGAAGGAAAATTAAAATTATTATTTATAAAAATTAATAAAATTAATATGCACATATCATTTAATATGAAAATAAGTTATTTATAATATTCAATCAAGAAAAGTTTACAATGTTATTTAGATTTATTGTTAATCAGTAAGTTTAAAAAGTTTAAAGAAAAGAGTCAGCTAACTCAATACACTAATTTTGTTTTCAAATTGTATGATATAATTTACTTCAGGCTTTAGAATTTAAAGTTCACAAGATTTAGGTGAAGTATATGCCTGAGAAACTATGGGGTATCAGTACAAATAAAAAATAAATATTAAACAACACAGCTTTTAAGAAAGTGCTAGTTTTATTTGCTGTGATTGATATCAACCCTATTGACACTTGTGTGTACATGCACACATACAGATAGATTTAGATGGGTAATAACCATCTAAATCTATCTGTACATGTATATATTACTGGCACACCAACCTATATACAGATAGACATAAATATGAACACGAGGGATGCCTTTTGTTTATTTCAACAGAAACAGGAGCACAATAATAACAATAGATAAAGCAAGTTTTTATCTACAAAACACCTTTTTTCATAGTTGCCACTCATGGCAATGCATTTATGTCAGAGATGAACAATCACTCTTTATTTGTGGGTGAACAGTTGTGCAGGGCTACAAGGAACATGATTTGTCACACACATTGCTGTCCCCACTGTTCAAATACATTAGCCCACTACTTAATTAGGCTCACAGTCACTGTTTGGTCTCCACAAATGTTCAACAAGTATCAATGAATGTAAATTGTTGCAATTTTTTTTTGCCTGAAGGAATTCAGTGAAACCCCTTTCATGTCAGATATGATTTTGCCAGACTGCTGCTCAACTGTTATCTGTAACAAGTAAAAAAAAAAAAAAAAAAAAAAAAATAAAATAAAATAAAATTATGGGTTTGTCTATATTTCTGAGATGAGTATTATGTACAGTATTTACATTAGTCGGGACTATTGTCCTCCTCTTTTTCGCCATATTTGTCACAACGTTTCGGCTGTTGTATGCTCGGCCTTCTTCAGGTGGTTGAATTTTGAACTGAACCCTTTATTTTGATCACTGGGGTGAACTGTTCTAGTTCCACGTGCCATGTTTGATGGATGTCAGTTATCAGTTATCTCCCGCCTTAAGGCAGTGGAGAACTTTCAGAGGGAAAATTAGCAGGAGATAACTGATAACTGACATCCATCAAACATGGCACGTGGAACTAGAACAGTCTACCCCAGTGATCGAAATAAAGGGTTCAGTTTGAAATTCCAACCACCTGAAGAAGGCCGGAGCGTACAACGGCCGAAATGTTGTGACAAATATGGCGACAAAGATGAGGACAATAGTCTGACTAATGTAAATACTGAAAATTACGGGTTATTGGCAGGAAGGTTGAACTTCTATTGCCAACATTTGCTTCAGATATCAGGAATCAATATAAAATAGGAGACATTACTTTTACTGTGACCTATATATAACAAACTTTTCTGCACATATATACTTCGATCACTGTTAGTTTCATGCAATTTTTACAGTTCTTGGGCAGCAAAAAGGAACCATGTATAAAACATTCATATATATCTTTTGTATATGGTTATGTTTTTCCATAGAGACCTAGTTGAGGGCAGTCTGTTATCTTCAAGGCTGACCAAGTGCCCTGACCATCTGTGTTGATGCTTTATGGTTAAAGATGCAATGCTTGATGTACCTGCTGAATTACCTCAGTATTGCATGTGAAAGAAGTCCAAGGGATTTTTATAATTGATTGAAGACATCACTGATGGAAGCATCCTAAACATTTTATGTGTCTTACATATGTTGTCCAAGACTGATATTTGTATTTAAGCATGAACCAGACATCATCCAATGCTTTATATATATATATATATATATATATATATATATATATATAAAGAAATATACTCTTAAGGTATGCTATATTTATGGGATAAAGTGCTCAATATCAGAGATAGAGCGTGTGTAAAATAAAAGTGAACATTGAAGTCAACATTTAGAGGTGACAGGCTGTTTTCTATTGCCAATATACACATATATACATACATACACACACATGGCAATACATTAACTACATGAAGATACCATTGATTGCCACTAATGTTTTACCATTATGTGAGAGGTATTTCTGCCACACACTATATCAGTCAGTTATGTGCCATGTATGATACATGCTTAGGTGATCATGTATCTTTTGATACATGACTGATGAGGCAGATTATTTCCCACAGCAGGTTGCCATTTCTTTCTGCGGTAAACCAGTGGCCATCCAAGGCTATAGAACCCGGTCTGTCCTATTTACCCATAGCTGGGGGGAGAAGAAGAAGATTCATACCTTTCCTAAGGGTATTAGCACATAAGTGAATGTAATGGATTCGACTAGAATTTGAACTCGGCTCTCTGATTTTTTAATCCAGGCCATTATCCATAATGCCACCGTTCCTTTGTTAATTAAATCTTGTAAACTTTAAATTCTAATGCATAAATTAAGTTATATAATGCAATCTGAACAAAAAAAAAACTCAATATATATATATATATATATATATATATATATATATATATATATATATATATATTGTTCTAATTTATTTATGCTTTACAGAATCATTGAAAGACTAATATATAACCTGATCAAGCAAACAATACATATGTGTCTTGTTCAATCTAGGGAATGATTGCAAAAACATAACCCTCCTCAAACTTATGGAGAAAATCTGACAGTTGCATGCTGGGATTTCTTCCTAACCAATAAAAACAAACCCCCTTCTATATTTTTGTTTTGTTTTTTCTTATCTTGAAGTCAGAATGTTACAATCACTTAATTGTATGTATCCCTTTTGCATGGGAACACCATTTTTACTTTGTGAACCTTTTTCCTTATTACTGTTGCTTTGCCTAGTTTTGACGTGTATATATATATATATATATATATATAGTTTGCTTTGTATTATTTTGTTGTTTGTCTTAATTTTATTATTGTTTATTGGAGCCTTTTTTGCTAATTATACTTAACCATGGCCAATTACTTAACAATACTTTAAACAAATCAATTTATATAATTATACCAATAAAAAAATGTGTAAGATACAAGAGAATATGGCATAACTTATTTTAAATACAAGAAGCCATTTGATAAATTTAATTTTTTGACTTATGATAGGTATCTTAAAATAAGTTTGTAAAATTATGTAATAATTTTTTTTTTTGTCACAAGTCATTAAAATTTAAAAATGTACCACAAAATAACCACTTTCCCCTAAATGTTGTCTTTTCTGTTATCTGAAATTGCATTACTCATCGAATTACAATGTATAACTCACTCTTATCTAAGACAAATATCTAATTAGATAAAATGCATAAAAAGCATGGTGAGAGAATAATGTCTACAAATGAGAAATCAACTGACCATAATGGAATGTGGCAAATAGCCTGTGGTCCTGGCAGAATAACCAAGAGTGGCAACAGCATGGCGTGCATAGACACTAGCAGAAGGGATCAGCAGGTTTGGATTTGATAAAGTCTCACTGTATCGAGTCATCCTTGTGGCTACATAAAGTGGTGTCAAACTCTGGATGACCACACCACTATTCTTGTATTCATACTTAAGGGCTTGAACGAAATAGTCAACATATTTCTTGGTGCCTGCATAGACAGTCATTTGTGGAGTGATTTTCATACAACTGGCTGATGACATCATCACAATAGCACCTCGACCACTAATAGAAAAAGAAACAGAGCAAAAACCATCAGAAAAGTAAAATGCCAGATTCAATATAAATTTTTATGGGTTTTTTTTTTTTTTTTGTTTTAGCTAAGGTTCAGCTTACTTATGTCTTAAATCTGAAGAATATTTCCTCCCAATATATTTTTTTTTATACTAAAGTTAACCTAATACAAGTCTAGAGACCCATTCAAGTTAAAGAATTACTGTTTGGTTTGTTTGTTTAACAACATATCAATTCCTTATGGGTTATTTAATGCTGGAATTTAATTTTCTTGGAAGTTTTGGTAATTCTTTTTTTACTATTAAAATCTATTGCTAGAATTTTTTTTAAAAAATAGAAGTTCTTTGGGAAAACCTGAGTGGAACTTTCTCCTCATATTTGAAATATGGAGACAAATGAGGCTGATTCGACTCCATTGAATTAGTGTGATATTTCCTAGAGGCATGACCTGGCAAAACTAACAAAGTTCATCTAAACATTTGCCATGAAAATAGTGATAGTCTTATGACATTGCATCAACGAGAAAGAGGTTGCAGTGTGGAAAATAAGTCTTTCCCAACAAGAGAGCATAAACAATTTTGAACTCTGTCAAGGTTGGAAAGTGAGGACTGAGCAGCTCCAATCTAGATATGGCTGCTATACTCCATTTTGGATCTAATCTGACTCTTGTAAAGATATAGCATGGCAGAATTGGTTATGAAATTCCTGAGGTAATAGTATGAGCCAACCATTTTTCCAGCCATTTTAGAAATGGATGAACACTAGACATTCAAAGCATGGAGCCTTATTGAGAGTGTAACCATCCCAAGGTGAAATATTTTTAACCATATAATGATTTGTCAGAGTTAACTCCTCCTTAATTTCCTAATTGTTCACTAGGGCACGCTTTCCCTACACTATAAATACTAGGCAATTCCTTGCCTCGTTCTCTTTTTACTTTGCATTTCAACGGACACATTTACAAAAATGTGATCTCTAGCAGAGATCTGTGTTTTGCCCACTTGTGGCAAAACACCATGAAACACACACACACACGTACAAACATTCACCAAAATACAAACTCTTTATGTTCACACACAAACACAAATGTTAAAGTTTATGTCCATTGTAAATTTTGTTGTTTAATACATATATTTGTGTGTGTGTGTGTATATATATATATATATATATATATATATGTCTGTCTTGTTGGTTTTCTTTACACTTCTTTATGATGGATTCAATCTCTGAGTCCACCATGTTCTTGTAGTGGACCTTTTAATATTCTAGCAGGAATTACACGAATTACACACGTGTTCCTAATTTAACAACATGTAAACCCATGGTCTGCTACAGAATTTTTGAATAAGCATGGTGTTCTTTACTTAAGGCCAAGTCATAGTGCATTTGACAGCTAGAATTGAAGGCCTATCTCAAATCTCATCCCATGATTTTTAGTTTCTGTTGTTGGTTGAAAAACATACTAAATCTAATTATATGTAATGTCTACTATGTTTTATTTCTCATTTGTATAAAATTTGTAAAAATTGGGTAGATGTTAAAAAATGTAATTATAGCATCATCTCTAATGATAATTGTTAGTGAATATGAATTTTGTATATCATACTCTCATACTCAGTGACCCCTTGTGTTTTAGTAGCTTTATTGCCTTGCTTGGAGTGAAATGATTTAAAAAAAAACAACAAAAAAAAAAAAAATCCCAAAAACAAACCCTAAACTATTTTTTAATTTGCACAAGTGCTGCAGGCGATTTGCAATATAAAAATTATTTTAATCAGTGATTTTACAAATATGAAAATAAATCATAAAAAATCTATTTCCTTTTTTTAACAAAAAATAAAACTTCACACCTTCAACCTCATATTCTAGGAGAAAAAAAAAACAATATGTTGCAGGAATAAAGTTATAAACAGCTGTAAAGATTACTATCTTATTCTGCATCTTATTTTAATCTGGCAAATCAGAGTAAAACATGTTTTGGCAGGGATATACTACAAAGTTAAAATATCTAAGTTAACAAATATACTATAACAAATCAGTCTCAAGACAGAATATAGATAAAATTGTTAAAACAACATTTATAAGCATTTAAAATAAGTTGGTTAAAAAACTGCCTACCGTTTAACCATTTGTGGCAGAATCATATGGGTCATCTGAAAGAGAAAGACACAATTTATACTTCAAACATATACAATTATAAGTTGGGGGGTAATTTTTACACTAGATTTTAAATGCTATTTTCATCAATACTACATCACATAGCAGCACTCCACAAAATGGAATATTTATAAAAAAAAAATATAAGTTTCTTGAGCACTAAACATGACAATTAGCAAGTACATCTTGCAAACTAATTTTCTAGTGTCACATGTGTTCTTCACTCAGTGCCTTACTATTGTGGCCTTAGTAAATAGTTAAGTAAAAGTATCCATTTTCATAAAAGAATGATTCTTTATATAGAGATTGCTTAGAAAAGTTTCATTAAAGTAAACCATTCAAGCATACATTATTAATCTATAGTTTTCCTGCCTTTTCAAAAGGCTCTAGCAATCACAAAATACATTTTGCATTATTTCTATTGTAGTGTGATGTCAGAATGGATATTGCAGACTATCAAAGAAAGCAGGTGCACCAGAAAGTTGACCTAAGTTCACTCCTGGTCACTAAATGTAGAAGCATACATCCTCACACCTGCATGCAGTTTATCACACCACAAACTCATGCAGTTTTTATCACACCACAAACTCATGCAGTTTTTATCACACCACAAACTCATGCAGTTTTTATCACACCACAAACTCATGCAGTTTTTATCACACCACAAACTCATGCAGTTTTTATCACACCACAAACTCATGCAGTTTTTATCACACCACAAACTCATGCAGTTTTTATCACACCACAAACTCATGCAGTTTTTATCACACCACAAACTCATGCAGTTTTTATCACACCACAAACTCATGCAGTTTTTATCACACCACAAACTCATGAAGTTTTTATCACACCACAAACTCATGAAGTTTTTATCACACCACAAACTCATGAAAGAAAACTTATGACTGCAAGATTTTTGAAATGCAATTTTTTTAGTTTCAACCTTATCAGCCCTTAAGAAATTTCAGTTGTTAAATCACTGGAATTATTAGCACATTGTTGAAAAATTTGAATATGTGATTCAATTAATTTGATATATCACAAAAACTGTTGAAAATTAAGTTGATGAATATGAAAGTAAATGGATTTCTTTTTCAAATGATACCTCCTTGGTATTACTAGCTATGAGATATGGTTTTAGAAATCCACTTTGTAAAAGTTATAGATTTCCAGCATGCCTACCTAATTGTGTTACCAGTTATATTATCAGAAGATGTATAAAGGAAAAAAGTGTGTACATAAAACAAAGAAATATTGAAAAATTTGAGGTTAATATCTTAGCAGTCTGCATCAATGAACATTTGAAAAACACCATACGGGTTGGAGATTGCATGAAATTATAAGGTAAAAGATTTTATTATTTTATAACAAAATCAATAATACAAAATGAATTTTTATTTAATTTTATACTTTTCATGCATATCAGGCATATAAAATAAAAGATACAATAACATAGAAATAGAAAGTAACTTTTTAATCATCTGAAAATGCAATGAACATAGCCGAGTATTTTAGGCTTAACAATAAATAACAGAAAATATTAGTTCATTTAAACTTTCTACTATTACAACATTATGCAAGATGTATCGCATTTACATTTTTTTAATCATTTCTCCCCAATCAAGGCAATAAAGCCACTAAGATACAAGGGGTTACACAGAGTGAAAGAAAGTGAGAAAACATTGAGGAGAGAGAGAAGACAATAAGGAGACCAGAATTCACGGATGCTCTCTCTTTTGATTTTCTATCTATAAAAGCAGCAGATTTACTCCCAGTATAAGTTCTGGATTATGGGCATTCCCAGTGTGGTGCAATGTTTAGCAGGCTTGTCTTGCTAGAACAATTAAGACTGAGTAGTGAGTTCAATCCTCACTGGGTGCTCCATACTTTTGGCCTTGTATCACAATTAAGCCATGCTTAAAAAAATCACTATAAGTTCTGGATTATTCTAATACCAAAATAAATCAAGTTTGCCTAACAGTTCAAATTAGTCTTTATATTGTACCTTATCAAATGCTTTTGCTTATGCTAATAGCTTTGAAATATTAAATTCATATATAGAGCAATACTTACCATTGTAGTAGCCATAATATTGACATTAATAAGCTGCCAAAGTCTCTACAAAAGAAAACACAAAGAACATAAAAAATTACTATTTCAATACAAACTTGATATTCCATTAAATATTTTGAATGAATAATCTTTAATCATTAATGTTTATATATTTTTATCTAGAATATTGCATATTTATGTTTGGAATCCATAATGTTTTTGTGGCACTATGACTGTGACACCCACACAGAAGAGGAAAGTGTGATTTTCTTGATCTCAAGTGTTTCCGTTTTATGATCGTTGGATGGGGGTCTTTGAAGCTGCATCTTCTAAGCAGCATGCACTGGACCAAAGAGGAAGCAAAAAACAAGTAAGTAAAAGAAAGCCTGTGGGGTCAAGTGATAAAAAACTGGACATTGATGATTCCCAGTTGCTGATCTATATTAACAGTCACAATTTGTTCATGTTGCTAGCCACATGTGATTTGCAGATGGATAGAAAGTTGGTAGGAGTGAAGAGCTGAGCTGTTAGCACAACATGCCAGAAGTTGTCCCAAGTGTCACCTGCCAATCCACCTGAATTAAACACTTAGTTTATAATACTGGAAAACAGGGTTTGAGTTGTCATTTTTTGCTGTGGTGTAAATTTTCATCTTTCGTTTCCTTGTGAACATGCTGCAGGTATTTCCGAGTTTTTGGTGCACACCAACATGAATGAGAACAGAGATGGGGTAGTCACTGGTCCGGTGGAAATCTGGGTGAGGGTCCCATTGTATGTTTACAGTTTAATCAATCATTAGAAAGCAAGACAGAATAGAACTAATTACTGTATGTTTTCTTCATGAGGAAAAGACAAGAGTATACATATTTAAAAAAAAAAAAAAAAAAAAAAAAATGTAAGATTCACGAAGGATTTTCCCTTTAAATAATTGCTCTTTATTTTTCCACCAATTCTAAATACAACACTTTAAGATAAATTTAAAATACCAATGTTGCTAAATATATGATTCAACTTTGTTGAGATTCTTTACCTTAGGAAGTTTCTTTATCAATAATTTATTATCATCTTGACTAAACTTATTTGTATAGCCATGGCTTTAAATACATTTACCTCAAGTGTATTAACAATTAAAAATGTTACTGAAAGATTTTGATGCAACCAATGAATATATATTCCTAAACCTTTTTTTACATTCTTGTTTTTTCCAAGAATGGAAAATTTAAAATTATTGATATTAGCATAGTACCTGTAAAACACATGATTATTTATATACGGTTTCTGTTTGAATTTCTGGAATAAAGATTTATCCTTATTTACACTATTTACACACAAACTATTGTCTTCATTATTTAATAATAGCAACAAAGATAAGGACAATAGTCTGAATGCAAATAATGTATATATTTATATATGGATTGGCATTTCTACTTAGAATGAGATATCAGTGTTCTCTACATATAACCCCATAACTATGATCAGAGTGTAGTATGTGAACTGTGAAAATTATAACACACACACACACACACACACACAACTGATGTGCTAAAAGTAATGAGATCAGTGCCTTGTATCATGTAGAATTGCCAACTCACCTGGCAAAGTGCAGTAACTTAACATGGCATTGATTCCACAAGTGGTCAGATGAACTCTTAGATGTTAAACCATTCCCTCTCAATAGTTGTCGACAGATTCCTGATATTTATAAGTGCAGGGTCTTGTCTACATGAACAGACTTCTCCACTACATCCCATAAATGCTCAATGTGGTTTATGTAAGACAAATATGATGCAATCTTTAGAAAACTTTTCAAACCAATGATGGGCAAGATGGCTCCAATACTGTTAGAATAACTCATTGTTGAGGTACATGAAATTCTTAAGTGGGTGCATCAAGAAATAATTATGTGGAGAGAAAAAAAAAAAGAAAAATCTCTGGAAAATGCATTTTTGCATAATTTATAATTACATTTACTAGTGTTATGTGTTTATTTAAATTTTTTTGTTCTCTTGTTCAGATATTTTTATAAATTTATGAATAAATTTATTTTTACAGTTATTTCCTTATAATCTTGAGAATAATAAATATTGAGTTGTAGTTGGTTCACATATCTTTATAATCTTGAAAATATAAAATTATTGTAGAAAACTCTTGTAAACAAACAATTGAATAAATAGTATTTAACATTTTTGTAGTCAATTCTCAAGAAAAAAGAAATGCATAAATCCAGTTTCATGTCTGGTTTTTATTAAAATTCTAAAAATAGCTTTTTAAAACAATAAAAATTACCGAGGGAGTATACAGCAACAATGGTATTAAGAGAAAAACAGTCCTTTTGGCACACTGTTATTTTTTTCCCTGGGGATAGTTATTAGCCATAATTAAGAATATAATGAATTAAGACTTACTTCTTCTGGCACCTCCAGGAAAAGTTGTGGATAGTCATACATAACACCAACATTGTTTACTGAAAAAAAAAAACAAAAAAAAAAAAACAATAACACATTTTCTGTGTTTAAATTTTTAAAAATGAGTGATTTAAACCTATTGCAAATATTCTTCAGGCGATATCCATTCCAGCACTCACAGAAATATGCAAATCATTTAAACAATTTCTTGGTAGAACAAAATTTAGTATAGCATGAACTAAAGATATTTTGGAATTACTATCAAAAGTAAAAGGTGGTAGAAGTCTTCTTAAGCAACCATTTTTTTTCAATCTACCTTTATCAAAAAGAGCCATTGATAAATTTAGAGGTTTAAACAATAAAACAAAATCACCAGATAAAGTATTCTAAAAGCAATCCTTATCTGTCATCAAATAGAAAATATTTAAAATGTGATGACTGATAAAGATTACCTTTACAACATTTTATCTCATTTTTACTGGTAATTTTTTGTTTTTATCTTCTAAATTTATCAACGAACCTCTGACGCCGCACATTAGTACTTTCAAGAAAAAGAAATACTTTAAAAATTTTCCTTAATTTTAAACAATTGTAGTATTTTTGGAAAAGAATATTTACCACATTTGGATCCATATATTCATAAAAATTTGATTAAATTTATGGAATCCTACAATTTGCAATTTAATTGTACTTTTTTTTTTTATACTGATTACAAAATTTGCCTTCAAGAATATTTTTTTAACTATATCAAAGTTGATTTCAGGGTTGACAGACTGAATTTGTGTGAAATAATAATTTAGAAGACTTATTTTTAGGGGGAAGTATATCTCTGCTCTGACCTTAGGGATCAGATACAAGACAAAATAAAGGAAGTCAATTTTGATTGGCTGTACTAGCATGAGAATGATAAATAGAGAAAGGTTTTTCAGGGAGCCGAGTTTTAACCGTCAAGTAATATAGATGCATTTTCCTTCATGTCTGAAACAGCTTCCTTGTTGGGAAGAGCAAACCCACTGGATAGGTAGAAATGTTGACATTAATAAAATAATTAAGTTCATTACTTTGTTGATGTCTCTTATCTCTGGACTCAAAACAATTAGCAATCGCTGACAACATATGAGTAAATTGGTGCAATGACCAAGACCCCCCCCCAGCACGAGAGAGAATGCAACATTTATAGATTGACAGATAAATCATTAATAGACTAGTAGACAGTTTTCTGAGACATCAGATGTTTAGGACTAAAATTAATAATCATAAAATTGATACATATATTCTAAAACATTTTTCAAAATAAGATAATGCCTTTCAATTATTCATACATTACCATTTATATCTAAGAGTAAAAGAAAAGAAAAAATAATTTACTTACTTAAAATTCCAATTTCCTTATCCTTGATAGCTAACCAAATTTCATCATAAATTTGACTACTACCTGAGAAATCTACCACAATTGGAATAACATTGACCGCGAACTGACTAGCTGCAATGAAAACAAAAAATTAAAGTATTTAAAGTAGTTATACATTTTTCTTTAATTCAGAACTATCACAAGAATACAAATATAGCAATGAGTCTATTCAGACCACCACAAGTTAACTGGTTTATAAAATAATGTTTGATTTGGAACTGAACCAAAAATATTTAGATATAGAATATATCTGTCTTGGCAGTGCCAACTTAGATGTGGAATTTTTATACATATGAGAAAATATTAAAACATTTGCCATTTGCTAGTAAAGATTTTAGTTCTAGCACACACACACACACACACACACACACACACACACACACGTGTGTTTTCATGAAAAAAAAAAATTCTAGTTTTTGGGATGCAATCTGACAAATTTGGGGTTTGTATCTGTATTTAGAGATGTTTTAATGGTATATATTTTTACTGAACAAGTTTTGTCTTAATCTAAATTGGTATTTTTTATGCAAAATAAAAAAAAATAAAAAAAATGAATGAAAGAAAAAAATATTTTCAATCTTCCAATATTCTGAATTTCTTAATAAAAAAAAAAAAAAAAGAATTTAAAAAAAGAATTTAAAAGTCTCTAAAATGAAATGATACGTAAAATAAATAATTGATCTAGTGGGATTTTTTAAATTTTTTCAATGAAGATTTTACTAATTATCAATAAAATTATTATATAACATTAAATAAATAATTTATTTAATCATACTTTAAGATAAGTAAACAGGTACAAAATAATATCAACAGCGTTTTCTAAAAGGTATACAATTTAATGGCTGCATTCCAAAATTTTAATTTATTTTCCTATTGAAATTTCCCTTAGATCACAGGCAGACAAAAATCACATGAGGTTAAGGTTAGTTACTATCAGATATGGATCAGCATTTCATTTCAGATTACCAATAAAGTAATCTTAATCTGCTGGCTTTGGTCTGGATTTCAGTGCGTTTTAGGAAAGTATATGACAAAGTGGGAAAAAAAAAAAAAAAACTTTTTATATGATGTATTTTGTTTTTTAGGATTTCATCGGACTAAAGTGATGTTTATGTTGATGTGATTACACATGTGGATGAAGAAGAGGGGATACTGAAATATGTTTTGTGCATATAGTCCAGCAGATTTAATTTAGTTTCTTATTCTTTTTATCACTTTTGTTACAAAGTATCATGCATGTGTGTATTTATAGTTATAATTTTGATGCATAAGAAGATGTTTCAATGCAAATGCAACTATTCTTTCCATTCAGTTATTTTCTTCATACAGAAATAAAAGATATGAACTGAATACTTACTAATGGTATTTGCTGTCTTTTTCAGCTGTTGTTCTCCTTTGCTGATCAAAATAAGGTTCATACCACGATTAGCCAGTTCATGGGCATAAGCCTTTCCAATACCTTCACTACTGCCAGTCACGACTAAAAAAAAAAAAAAAAAAAAAAAAAAAAAAAAGAGCACAATTATCTTAGTCAAAAATAAAACAAAAAAAAATGCAGATTCTACATACAGGTGTTTTAATTAGGTCTCCAGTTATCTACACTTGAATTATATTAGTTACAAGGGAAAAAGCAATCTATCTATATATAAAATTTTATGATTTTTGTTAGTTCATCCATCAGTCACACCCTCTAAAATAACTATACAGTGACAGATCAAAACCAAATTAAAAAAATATTGTTTGCCATGAAATCCTATAAAATTAAATTAAAAAAATTATTAAACCATGAAGTAGGGTTTTTATCAAGGTATTTTTCCAAACAAATCAGCTTATTCAAATTTCATCAATTGGTTTGTGAGATTGAACGAAAATAAAATCTTGTAAATCTTGACAAAATTGTTAGCAATAACTTCAGCAATACTAAATACTAGTACTGAAAAGTTCTTGGCATGACCCATTTTCCAAAACAATTAAATTTATTTTATGGGTAGTTTGGGTGGAAGCATAAATCTTAACTTAGCTGAGGATGTTTTGGCACCACTTCTTAGACTATCAGCAATGTCAGAGTGGGACCATTTCTCTAAATCAATAATTTTCTTGGTAAAATAAATCAATAACAAGAATTTAGAGTAATACAAAAACATACTCAAAAATAGTAAATAATTTTGTTTATTTCTCAATGTTTATCCACATCACAAATGATTTTAATAAACTGGGAAATATTAACAAAATCAACCAAACTTCTTAATCCACTTTCAATCTCATATGAACATTTTTTCAAAGTCACTTTTATGCTTTCAAATTGCCTGATGGAAAAATTATTTCAAGTTAATAGGATCTGGAATTGAAATCTGAACATATATTTAAAAAATATGGCAACAAATAATTTGAAGAATTCTGCATTTTACATGCAACAAGAAGTTTATTTCTAAGTAAAAGCTCGATATCAAGATCGTTCAAGACAAGATGATCTGTAGATGTCACAGACACTTTTTGTGATCATTTCACTCCAAAAAAGGTGATAAAGCCACTAAGACATAAGGAGTTACTAAGTGTGAAAGAAAGCATTACTGAGGCAAAAATACAATAAAATGGGCAGGATACAGATGGGGATTGACATTGCATTTAAATTTTTGAAGGTCAGAGTTGATAGGAAAGCAAGAAGCTTGAAGAGAGTTCCCCAGGCAAGAACGGTGAGAGAAGAGGTTATTAAAAGAACTTACAATTACATTTAGCAATTTCAATAGTAAAATAATGAGAACTGTCAATCTACTAATACACTTAAATACATGTAGTCATGTTTACCAAAAAGGAGAGCTCATTAGAACAATTACCCTGAAAATATTTATAGACAAGGCACAAGAAGCGATGTTTATAGCAATGGGAAAGTGATTGAAGCTGACATGCCAGGTCTGGATCAATAATATTACAGATTCTTCTTTGGATATATTCAAGAATCTCTAGATGCATATCAGAAACACCATACCAAAATTGGTAGCAATATTCAATGCACAGTTGAATGATAGACTTTTAAAAGGGGCAAGGTATATTTAGGTGAGAAAAATGTTTAGCACGATACAGTGAACAAACTTTCTTAACAGCAGACACAGCAATTGCCTTATTTTGTATATAGAGTTGTGTGACTACTAATAAGTCAGTTGTTACATGGCACAAAGGGAGAACTCTTGTTACAGACTAGAAGATATCACAACAATACTGCATTGCCAATAGAATCTCTAACACCATTGGATGAGCCAGATTTTGTGGAAACATGGATTTGTTGTTTTGCTGCCCAGGTATGGACCAAGAAGTTAAAAGACCACAAAATTGCAAGAGGAGAGAATGAGATCACAGATCTCTTTTTGGCATAGGCAGGATATGAGACCATCAGAAAGATATCTGTTATAGCATATTCCATAAAATTGGAGGATTTGACCTTTTCACAAATTTTGGAAATTATAAAGAGAAATTTGTGACCAAAAAAGAAGTTGGTTATTGCTGAGAGCACAAAGTTTCTCACAAACAAACAAGAACTGAACAAAACAATAATATGGTATGTACACAAACTATGAGAGGCTTTCAGATTCTGTGAGTTTGAAAAACTTGGCACTGGAGAAATGACCATCAAAGAACAATTGATACAGTTCAGATTAATTGAAGGTATGCGTGATGCTTCATACTAACACGAAATTTTAGAAGGGTTACAACTGACTAAAGTGTCCTTGGATGTATCTATAGAGTTTCTGCAACAATTAGAGCTAATTGATAAATTCAATACATTCAAGAGTAATGCTGAAGCATACAGCATATCAAATTAACTTGTGCAATGCAAATACTGTAATAAAAAATATGAACAGGACAAGAAAAAAGTAAAGTGTGCTGAAATTATGAAAAGAAAAATCATTTCCAGTCTGTGTGCAAGTATAAAAAGAAAAAAAAAAGAAAAAAAAAAATTATTTTCGATACAAAGACAAAGAGAAAAGTACCAGAGAAAAATTTAAATTGAATAGTATAACTTTTCACATGCAAGTAGATACTGGGAGTGATGTCACTCTAATCCCAATAAATTTCTGGGAACGAATGGGAAAATTCAAATTAAAGAAAAGTTGGCTTAAACTAAGACAGTTCAATGGCTCCTTCATGGAGATCCGAATCATATGTGGCTGCAATATTCTAAGCATGGGACATAGATATGCAAGACGAATTCTGGAGAGAAAAATCATCTAGCACAATACTGTGAATTAATTTCATCAGCAGCTGACCTAGCAATGGATTCAATATAGTCTTTCCACTTCATGTCAGCTGAGAACGTTAGCCTGAGAAGGTGCAATAAGTCGTTCTTCTGGAGGTCAGCAACAGCCATACTGAAGGAAGGCAAAAAGGGGTCTCTCAGATGATTAATGGAGAGCAGTTTTGTTTTGGAGATGCTAAAATTGACAAGCCATCCTTTGCCCCAGTTAACAAAAGAAAATAAAATTCAGAAGATAAAATATTGCACTAGATTGAAACAGATGTATTACCCTTAGATCGTCTTACATGTGAAACCTTGTAGGTACCTCCATGAGATCGCTAAAATAAGAGCATAGTATAATGAAAAAGACGCCAAATTTGACAAAATTTTATCGTCTAAATGTTTATATTATTATTATTAAGAGGAAAGATCAAAGTTTATTTTAATCATTTTTTTAAATTTTTTGCTCTTTTTAGAACATTCTAAATTTTGATTAAAAAAAACCTTGTTTCTCTTTGTATCACCGGAACTAGTAAAATAACATAGACAATTTTTAGCATGTTTTTTTTTGTGTAACACACATTAATTTGGAAAATCTTGCAAAAATAAAAATAATTGTCGGATGTTAATGAAACTTTCAGAAACTATTCACAGATGATCGAAATTATTATAAATATGTTTTCTTTTATTAAAGTCAGGGCAGAAATATTTTTTTTAATATTTATTACCGCCCCCCCCCACTAATTTTATGAAAACACTACAAATTCGATCACGTCAGGTTTAGCAATTACAATAGTTAAAAGCACAAGGCTTTGAGGAATGCAAATCATGTTTTTTTTTGTTTTTAATTGGACCTGAAATTCAGCTCTGAATTGTAACATACAAAACTCAATAAAACAAAGATATTATTTAATTTCAAATGCTTTTATTTGCTTTTAGTTGTTTTTATGAATATGGACAATATTTTCTGAAAGCAAAAAATTTTTTTGATAAAAAATGAATTTTTAATATAATTATTTGTTATTTTTTAATTATAATAGATTTTTACATTTAAGTTGTTAAAATATAAAATTAGTTAAAAGCCGCATCGGGTTTCCTAAGTTTCCTTATGAGATAGATCTTTTTTTAGCGCATTGTAAATTGTATCATTTTAACTAATCAGAAGATCCGCAATAATTAAGAAATGTAATTTTGTGTTTATAATCAGACTGTAATTATAAAGTATGGAAGACCAACCAGAATACAATTAAGTTGCGTTATTTGAGTTAAGCATTGTTCTCTGCTGTTAAGGCCTTTACTTTTGCAAAACACGTGTGGAGAAGTTAATTTGATTTTTCAATTTCAACTGAGAAGGGTACCTACAAGTATCAGTATCATCTTATGAAATTTATATGATCTTATTTTTATATTAATCTCAGTTACGACATTTTTCCATGAATGAAATATCAAAATTAATAATAAAATGAATGGAAATACAAATAACAGTAAAATGTAATAAATGTACATAAAATTATAGTATTTTATGTACACTTCTGATAAAATTTAATGAGAAAGGTACCTATAAATTAATTAGATACCTTTCTTATGAAATTTAATCTCAATCTTAACAGTCATATTTTAATTTCTTTATAATATATTTTCCTTAAAGCATTGTAAATGTAAAGGTGAAAGCTAAGTACAAAAAAATAAAAAATAAAAAAAAAATTAGAGCGCTGAAAGTTTTCCTTAAAAATAACAAGGTAAATAATTTGTTCACTTAAATGTAAATAATTTCACTTTTCTCCTTCATGGAATCCGTCAGTATGTCATTCATCACCTGTCAAGTGACACAAAAGTTTATGACCTACTTTGTTTTATTTTCAAATTACATCTTTTCGACACAGAAACTAAGTTAAGCTTGGTTCAAAATATTTTAAACATTATAATTTCTGGTTTCTTAAAATAAGTTTTGAAAAAATGATAATTGATATTTAAAAGAATTTCAAAGGGAGATTTTCAGTTTTTTTTATAAAATGGGAAAAAATGGTCAATTTTGCTGACTTGAAAAGAAACAAGATTTTAAACGAAAATTTTTGACATACTAGGAATGTTTAAAAAATGAAAAAAAATATCCCCAAAATACTTTGATCTTTCCTCTTAATAATAACAAACATTTAAACGATAAAATTTTGTTTTCGTCAAGTTTGGTGTCTTTTTCTTCATGCCATGCTCTTTTTTTTAGCAATCCCGTGGAGGTACCTACCTTACAGGATCCAGTATTATGCAACATTGCAGGCAGAATAAAAAGAAACAAATGGAGTGATTGTTCTAGGACAGAGAGACCTTATAAAGAGATAAGGCACAGGTCAACAATAGAGAAGGTTCTTATATACAATGGAGATTTTTAATACCATCAGAAAAAGATATAATAAAAGGTTGATGATGTTCATTGTGGAATAACAGCAACAAAAAGACAATTAAAATTGGAAGTACAGTGACCTGGATATTCATGTGATGTGGGACAATATGTAGAAAAATGCCCAAAATGTAGGGAAATAAAAAATTGTTGCCAAACTAAGATGCGTTCAAGGCCTAATGAAAAAAAGCCATGAGCCTTTGTTCATATGGATCATGCACATGTTAAAGGCATAGGGCTATTTTTAATTTTGGTCAACTCATTCTCTGGATGACCTGAAGTGATGCAGGATAGGATGGTAGCCAGGGTAAAGCAAATATTATGAGTAATATTTTTCCATAAATGGGGTGCCCAAAAACATTAGTCTCTGTCAATGCACCAGAATTTTGTGATGAAACTTTGTGTTTGTGGTTAAAACAAATTGGATGCCTCCCTTATAAAACACCACCATACCACCTGCAATTGAATGGAATTGCAGAAAGAATGGTGCAGACTGAAAATGGATCTGAAGGCATTTTCCCCAACCAGAGACACCACAGATAGTTACCTACTGAGACTATTACTGAGTTATAGAACTATTTCACATGCTAAGAGAATTGCAAAGTCCCTCTGCATTGATGGGAAGACAAATTAGATCATCTATAATGTCCTATTCAACAAATGAAAAAATGTGGTACAAAAAAGACAGAGAATCAAGTCCTAAAAAAGTTAATTTTATTGTACAAAAGTGACATAATATGGCTATAATAGCAACAAATGGACAGAATTTGTTGGCTCATTCTGATCAGATAAGACCTAGGATTGGTGATGAAGAAGTCTCAATAGAAGAGGAGGAGGAACATGAAAGTGGGGAAAGCATGAGGCTTCTGGTGGAGAAAGTGAACATAATAGTAAAGAAACTATAATTCAGAGAAGTTACAAATCATTGAAGGTCATAAAACATTTTCGTTTCTGGGAGGTAGTGACATAGGCAAAATAGACTTGTACTGTTTTGCATAGAGTTGAGTGACTACTAATAAGGGCACAAATGGAGAACTTCTACGTTACAGATTAGAACACATCACAATATTATTATAACAGCAATTATTCAGCAACAAAACATTTTTTCCACATTGTCATTACCACTATGTATTTTCAAGAAACTCTTCATTTTGTAGGTTGACAGTTATGAAGGACTGTCTGGAAAGTGGTTGGTTACACACATTGCTGTTGCCATTACTGAAATATATCACCCACTGTTTTCACTCCCACTGTTTGATCTCTGTAAACTACAGAATGTTATCAGAAAGAGTGATACAAATGCAGAAGGATATATGCTAAGTTTCATAGATTACACAAAGTCCTTTGACAAAGTACGCCACAAGGATCTGCTGGAATGACTCAGCAACCTTGATATATTCGGGAAAATTATCAGAATAATCAAGAACCTATACTGGCTGCAAACAGCATGCATGAACATAGAGAACAAGTTCAGCAAATATACAAAAATAGAAAGAGGCGTCAGGCATGGATGTGTTTTCTCACCCGATATGTTCAACCTATACAGCGAGGCAATTCTGAGAAAATTGGAAACCCTACCGGGATTTAGCATTGGCAGACACAATCTTAACAATACAAGATAAGTAGATAACACACTACTGATAACAGACACGGAAAAGAAATGACAAAATCTCCTACAGAAGGTAGTGACAGAGAGTGAGAAGAAGGGTCTAAGCATAAACTACAAGAAGACAGAATGCATGGTCATCAGTAAAAGGACGAGCCCGAAATGCAATTTGCAGGTTGGGAACACTAGAACCAAGCAGATGTGGAAGTTTAAATATCTGGGAAGTATTTTGACAGAGGACGATAAGTGCGACACTGAGATCCATAGACGTATTATGAGACAGGAGGATTTCTTTGGTAACAAAGAAAAGAATACCGAGCTGTTACATGAAATCTATCCTTCTTTACAGTAGGGAATGTTGGATGATTTCCTCAAAGATGAAGAAGAGACTCAAGGTGACGGAGATGTGGTTCTACAGAAGTGTGTGAACACTGATGAGATCTTAGAAAAGATGCAAACAAGGAGGAGGCTTATACTTAACATCAAGAAAGGGCAGCTGAAGTTTCTGGGACACATAATGAGGGGCCTGGAGAATATGATACTCATGGCTTGAATAGAGGGGAAAAAGAAAGGGAAAACAATGCATGACATACCTAGCGGGCTTAAGCAAATGGATGACAGAATGTGGTCGGGGGGGGTAGCAGAGGGAAGGAACTTGTTGAGAGCTGCAAGTGATAGAGGAAGGTGGAGGGGCCTGATTGCCTATATCCTGGAAGGACATGGTGCATAAAAAGAAAGAAAAGAAACTACATAGCCATGGATCAAAGAGTAAAGAATCTTCATTATTAACCCCAAATTAATACTTTGTGTGGTATCTGTTAATCATCAACATTTGATTATCCTTTCATCCATTGGTCAGAATGAATACTTTGTAATCATAAAAAGGTAATATACAGAATTCTAACATTCTTTGAAGAGGCGATTGTGAAAAGCAAGTTCAAAGGTGCAAAATATTGTATGCCTATGTGCAGGCATAGAAAATAAAAGGTTCATACAATTGTAAATATTAAAAGTTGAAGGATAATTTCCCAATCCTTCAGGATTGGGAAATTATTTAATTAGTTTTATTTATTAAATACCTTGAGATTTAGTTTGATTGAATTTAATTAATAGATGATAAAATTCCTCATCACACTGAACAAAAAAAAAATGGGGGTGCTAATGTTAAAGTTGACAAACACAAATAATAATTATTTGTAGTATGGGTAATTTTAAATTTAAACAAGTGAGACAAGTATTGATTGCAAGACTAAATCAGAATAATAATAAAAAAAAACTAATCTACTAAATTATTTTAACTTTACAGTTGAAAAAAAAGAGAGAACACAAGCAATAATAAAAAGATACATTTTGTTGTAAATGTCATTACTCATTACACGACAAAATGATTTTAAAAAAACTTGCAGTGTACATTTGTTTCTAAATTCAAAAATTAATTTGTGTTTAAATAAATTTAACCGCGAAGAAATATTTTAATTACTTAGTGTTTTACATACATACTACACTGAGACTACGGTCTTAAACAGATCGAGTAAACTAAACAACGAATTTTGTGTCACCGTTTACGAAGCTTCTGCGACCGAAGTGGTTACGGCGACGTCCATAAAAGATGAATTCCCGAGAGTTTACGAGTGAAATCACCTCGCAAATAACTTATTTCTTATATTGAATTTTGTGCTGTTATTTTACGGCCAAAGAGCGTATCGATACAAAGTGTTGTAATAATTAAAAAAAAAAAAAAAAAAAAAAAAGTAACTAGAAATGGAAAAACAAAATACATGTCCGACAGTTATGTAACTACATGTCCACAATAAACAAGCCTCTAAAAACCCTAACATTTTGAAAGCAAATTAAAACTAAAAGTTGTCACTAATAAAAACAATAACTGTTTCTTAAGGAGACAGGTTAAAAAAAAAAAAATTTTAAATTAGAAATAGCACTATTTTCAATATTTCAACATAAAAACTTTAAAGTTTTTATTATTTGTTCTTGGAGCTTCGTAAATTCAATCCAATATTTTTTAGTTTAAGTTAACAGAAAATACTTATGTTTTTTAGCTAGAAATTTTCATTTTCCTACATTTTTAAGTTTGAATAGTAACCACTGAATTGAATAAACGGAAATGTCAAGATAAGTCCATGATTGAAAAAGGTTACTACTGAAATGTCATAATCATAATCTTTCAACAAAAACAAATCTTTTAAAGGGCAAAATGCAACTTTTAACACAAATTTAAATTTTAACATTTCATTAAAAAAATCTATTAAACATCAACCAACCTAAATTTAAAATTAAAAAAAAAAAAGAAGAAAGGTGGGGTATATGTTAAAAAAATTGTTCGCTTTTTTTTTTTTTTTTTTTTGACTCAACAACAATAATAATAAACAACGATCCAGTCTCCATGAGGAGCGTCGTTGTGTAGTACCTGCCCATTTTCCGTAAAGACTTCGAAAATCTTGTTGTTGTATTTTACTAAGTACATGGCAATTGAGAGAGCTGAGCAGCGAATAAGTAAATGTCAGGGTTTTCTTGCATGTGTAATATACTCCAAAAATCGCCAACCAGTCTCGAGTGCTGGCAAAGACGTCTTTGCAATTCGAATATAAAAAGTCAAAGCTATCCACTACGGCCATGTTTAGATATCAAGCATGCTACTGTGAAGAATTCCAATCTTTCAAGAAGGATAACTCTGCCGGCTTGACAACTGTCAACACTAAATTCCGGTAGTTATCGGATATTTTCGTTGAATGTAGTGGTTCATTTCAGAAAATATTTATAATGCAATATTTTAAATTAAAACTTTTTTTTACAGTATTTCATCATTTAGTCAGAAGGCTTAGTCAGATTATAGTTAAGGCTTAAGACAGTATGCTCGCCTCAAAGTAAAAGGAGAATAAAAGTTTCGATTGGTTTTTAATTCGTTTTTTCACACCATTCCCAGTGGCGTAGCTAGTGTTTTCTTTTGCCGCCTCTCCCAACCCTTAGTCAACGACGAAACTATGCAATAAAAGTACAATTGTGCTTTCTTTTTTTTAATAAAAAATGTTACTTCTTTCTGCTAAATCTGTAAAACTTTAAAAACTTTCTACGATATTAAAAGAAAGACAGATTTTATTTTTTTATATACCCTTTGTTTTTAAAAGAAAAACAAAAAACATTGTATTTTTAAATTCATAATTTATCAGTGTTTTTTTATATTTATTTTAAATTCTAACAGTCATAAATTAAAGCAAAATGCCAAGTTAAACATGGTTCGTTTTTCTTTTAACAATGTAAAAAATATAATGTCTTTAAATTATTACGTTGTTGAAGTTATTTATTAGCAAAGTAGACTAAGAATTTAAGTCCGTTCACTTTTAAAAACTGAAATAAAAATAAATTCTTATTCTTTGTTTAATAAAACTTCAACAATCTAAACAAAGAATAAAGCATTGCATTATTTTACTACCGTGAAAACTGAAAACTTGTAAATTGAAAAAAATGCCCATTTTGGGATTTTAAATAAGGTTTCTGCACTTAGAAAATATTAATTTTCTTTTAAATTTTCGTTCGATAATTCCGGAGAAATGCATGTGATTAAGATATCCTTAAGGCTTAAAGCATTGGAATTATTTTCAATTCATTTATCTACCTATTTTATAATTTATGAAAAGTAACAATTTTTAGGCCTATGATAAAAAAATAAAATAAAACAATTGGTTCACTTCTTATTTTATTTAATTTTTTTTTTTCACTAACAGTTCACAGACATAAAAATCAAAATCAAAGAACTGACGCCAAAGTCTGGACTTCTCATAGGTGTGAAAAAACTGTAAATTCGCTAAAATTCACTTAAATCTAACCCCACATCAAGCCCTTTTAAAATGTTCAAATTTTTTTCACACCTTTTGCTCACACGTCTAAATGTAATTGTAATTCCTATCAGCACGTTTTGGAGACATTTTTTTTTTTATTGCTGGCTGGCTTTGAGCCGGCCATAGTGATTTTCCAAGCGTAGCTTGGATGTGGCACAAGGCCGAAAGTAAGGGGCACCCAGTGAGGATCGAACTCACTACTCATTCGTAATTGTTTAAGCGAGACAAGCTTACATTACACCACCTCGAGGTGCCCTTGAGCCGGCCATACCATACAAATTGGCTTCATATATCTACTGCCTTATCGCTGTTTTTTGTTTTTTTTTCCAAAATTATTGAATTTATGCTATTGGTTTTTTTTTTTCTTTTATGAAAACTCACCGCGGAACAAAAGTTATGAGTCATGAGAATTTCTCTTGGAACAACAAAATATCCCTTTACTGATGAAAAATGAATCTACAGAGTGGTCCGAAAGTCTTATCACCCCTGTGATAATGAGAACAGCAAAACAAGTAATAAAATACAAAGCACGTGTATTGGATTCAGTTTATTCACTTGCATTGATGCTGTCACACATTTAAAAGGTCTGTAGGAGCTCATGTCAGTCATCTGAAATATAAAATTACATTATGTGGCAGTGACAATACTTTCGGACCACCCTGTACACACTACAGCACATAAATAACTTTGTCACTATTCTGTCAAAACATGCAGGTATAGGATATAAACTCCTGTATTTTACAGACAATAAGTGAAGCACAAACAAGTAAGAGACGCCTACGAATAAATCTTATTAAATTCAGTAGATACAGAATTTTTTTTTTACAATTCTGTTCAAACACAGCTCCAAAATTAAATAATTGTTTTCTGGAATTTAATTGGATAGGACAAGTCAGGTGATGTTCTCCCTATGACATTCGTGTGGTTGAACTCCAAATGACCTGGAAATAGGTCAGGGCTTGGTTTATGGAGTACATTCCTGCACAAAACTCAGATAGGATTTGTGAACTGATCACCAACTTGCTATAACCCATAAAAACAGCTCATCAGCCACAGTCAGCAATCAAATCTGAAATGGAACAATCAGATTTGCAACAAACACAGTGGGTAAAGGATATTTCCAGCAAAAGACAGCTAGCAAACCTACCACAATCAACAACTTAGACACATGTTACCATTACAATGCATGTGTCAGTGATGATTTTTCTACATACAACGCCACAACAAAAGTAAGTCTTGAATCCCATCTCTTTGTTCAATGTGTTTTAAAATTACTGTTATCACACGCATTCAGCAAGGAGTATATTTCATTAGCGTGTGCTTTAGATTTATATCATTTCAAACTTCGCAGCCTCACTTGCAACAAAAACGCTTTGAAACTTTGCAGACTCACTTGCAACAAATCATTTTGAACACTCAAACTATTCCTCTCTTCATGGCCACAACAAAGAGCATTGATTTTCAACATGTAAATATATATACCACTGTACAAATGTTACTGTCATTTAGCTTGGTTTTCTTCCTTTTCTGTGAAGATTATTTCTTCATGTTGTTTATTATTTTGTGTTGTAATTTGTGGACATGACATTGATTTTATTTTCCGACCTAAAATCCAGGTAGACTGACTACACACAGGAATACTGTTTTTAAGAAATATCCTGCTAAACAAAATTAGTAAAAAAAATATAGAAACTGTTAAAAACAAAGAAATTACAGACCTGAAAATTAAAATCATAAACCTATTCTTAATCAGTTATAAATTGCCACTATGATAATACAACATTAGTGTTATACTGGAACACACCTATTCTATTGTTAATAGACTCTCCCACCTATAATAAGTAGGAGTAGTAGCAGTCACCAGGGGCTCAGTGAGTTGGTGAGTCAGTCGATGTCGGACGACCATTAGTCGGATATTAAAGTATCAGCCACCACAACTAGATTGCTGCGTCATTAACTATTATATCAAGTTCCTAACGTTTTGTACGTCAAACCTATTTAAGGACCGACTTAGTGAAATACAAGCCTCCACTGTGAAACTACTCTATAACAACTTGGCGACAAGGGATTCGTACTCATACGGAGGAAGAAAAACTTTTCGTTCACTCTATAACAATTAGCAAGTTTCCTATATTTAGAGGGGGACTCACACAATTTTGTCTCTGGTTGTCATCTCCTTGCCACTTGCATGAGGAATCTTTTTATGGTTTTCTTGTATTTTACTAAAAATATTGAAAATAATTGTGGAATACAGGATGTGGTTAATGTTCCAATTGAATCAACAAAATCAAAAGATGGCAACTCAACAAAATGAACAAAGGTCCCCTACAGAACAAGGTTAACACAAAATTCACATAACAAACAAGAGCATGAAAGAAATTTTACAATAAAATATATACACATACATGAGAGTAACAAAGATCCTTAGAATTAATCATGTATGAGATAGTGTTGTGACTATCATCACCATCACACACATAAGTACATACAGATCACTTTCTTTCTCCCCTTTGCTCTAAGGGGGGGAGAGAAGATGATTCATACATTTCCCAAGAGTATTAGCACATAAGTGAATGTAATGGGTTCAACTGGAATTCAAACTCAGCTCTCCGATTCCTCAATCTGAGCCGCTATCCTTTATTCCATCATGCCTCCTCCTGGACATACCCAAGAGACATTGAGAACTTTGTTTCACTACAGTTTATCTAAAAAAGAGAATAAACAGTCTGTAGTAGAAATCCAAGTTTTTGCATGCTTCTTCTTTAATTGTTTATATGAGAACATGCACACACCTTAAAATACACCCAACATGCTAGCTTTTATATTACATACACATATTTTCTTTTTCCCCTTTTAGTTGGTTGTGTAACATAATTTAATTTGATTGAACTCTGATTAGTGAGGAGTGATAACAGGATAATTCATTCTGTATTCTTTTTTCTTCAGCATTTTTTCTTTTTTCTTATCCCTATTTTATTCCTATTTTCAAAGTACCATCGAACATAGTTGCAGCTTTCCTTTTTTAATCTCTTTTAAATTATGTCCATTTTCATTCCTTTTCTTTATATTGGATCAAAACTACAAAGTTAATATTCCTATCTTCATTTGTCATTAAATAAAAACCTATATATATATTAGAGGCACTGTGGAGTAGTGTATAGTGGCTCTGATTGAGGAATCAGAGAGCTGAGTTTGAATTCCAGTCAAATCCATTACATTCACTTACGTGCTTGGGAAAGGTATTAATCCTCCTTTTCTCCCTCCAGCTAGGACAGACTGGGTTCTATAGCTTTGGATGGAAACTGGTCTAGAAGAGCAACTCTGAATTCAAAACCTGCGGAGGGTCGTTTGGGGATCTTGTGGCATGTAATGCATTGGGTCTCTGTATTTGGCCCTTCAAAAAGTGTGGTTGGTTCTGCACAAAGCCTTCACCACTATAATCAAATCATATGTGCTGGTGTCTGGGTTGTCAGTTCCTAGGAACTGAACTGCTTGACCTTCATATGTTGAATATGACAAGAGAAATTGACCATGGGGAGATTCAAACTCAGGTCTCATGGTCAGAATGCAAGCGTTCTAACCACTCAGCCACGTCTGAACTTATCTTTGTCTAATCTACATTTATAACAAAACAAATTCATAATTGGTTGGTGTTATCATTAACATCAAGGTACAAAATCTATGTGTCCACTTATCAAACCTATTTTTAGTTTTATTTCATAATCATTGTCTTTTAAAGATCTACATTTGTGAGCTTCTAATTTGATAGTATCTTTACA